CTCTGTTGCCTGGGCTAGAGTGCCTGTGGCTTCAGCCTAGCTCACAGCAACCTCAAACTCCTGGGCTCAAGCAATCCTTCTGCCTCCGCCTCCCGAGTAGCTGGGACTACAGGCATGCGCCACCATGCCTGGCCAATTTTTTTTTTCTATATAGTTTTAGTTGCCTGATTAATTTCTTTCTATTTTTAGTAGAGATGGGGTCTTGCTCTTGCTCTTGCTCAGGCAGGTCTCAAACTCCTGAGCTCAAACAATCCACCTGCCTCGGCCTCCCAGAGTGCTAGGATTACAGGCGTGAGCCACCGCACCCGGCCGCTTAACTGTTTTGACTAGGACTTCCAGTACAAGGTTGACTAGAAGTGGCAAGAACAGACATCCTTGTATTATTTCTCATCTTAAGCAGAAATTTTCACTGGTAAGTATGATTTTACTGTCAGGTTTTTTAAAATGTCTTTGATTAGCTTGAGAAAGTTCTCTTGCTTTCCTAGTTTGTTGAGTATGTTTATTATGAAAGAGTGTTAGATTTTGTCAAATGGAGATGACCATGTGTTTTTTGTCCTTCATTCTATTAATATAATGTCTTAAATTGATTTTCACATATTAAACCAACCTTGCATTCCTGGAATAGATTACATTTGGTCATGGTATCTAATCCTTTTTATATGTTGTCGGATTTAGTTTGCTAGTATTTTATTGGGATTTTTGCATCTATATTTACTTGGGATATTGGTCTGCAGTTTTCTTTTTCTTTTCTTGTGATGTCTTTGTCTGGTTTTAGTATTAGGACCTTACAGAATGCGTTGTGAAGTGTTCCTTCTTCTATTTTTTGGAAGAATTTGTGACGAATTGTCATTACTTTTTCTTTAAGTGTTTGGTAGTATTCACCTAGTAAAGACATCCAAGTAAAGACATCCAAACTTCACCGTAGGAAATTTTTATGCTTACTATTTCAATCTCTTTACTTGTTATAGGTCTATTAAGATTTTCAATTGCTCTGGAGTCAGTTTTGATAGTTTGTGTCTTTTTAGAATTTGTCCATTTTATCTAGGCTATCTAATATGTTGGCATATAATTGTTCATAGAATTTCCTTATAATTCTTTTTATTTCTGTAATGTTGGTGATGATGTCACCTCTTTCATTCCTGACTTTAGTTATTTGAGTGTTCTCCTTTTTTCTCTTGCTGAAGGTTTTTCAGTTTTATTGATCTTTTCAAGTAACCCACTTTTGGTTTTATTGATTTTCTTTATTGTTTTTCTGTTCTCTGTTTCATCTGTTTCTGCTCTACTATTTATTATTTCCTTCTTTCTTCTTGCTTTGGGTTTAGTTTGCTCTTCTCTTGCTATTTTTAAGGTGGAAGATTACGTTATTAATTTGAGATCTTTCTTCTTTCCTAATATAACATTTACAACTATGAATTTCTGAGTACTGCTTTAGCTATATCTCATAAGTTTTGGTATGTTATATTTTCATTCTCATTCATCTCAAAATATTTTCTAATTTCCATTGAGATTTTTTTCCTTAACATATTGGTTATTTAGGACAGTGTTGTTTAATTTCCACATACTTGTGAATTTCCTAAATTTCTGTCTGTTGTTGATTTCCTTCCATTGTGGTTGAAGAATATACTTTGTATAATTTATATTTTTTAAAATTTATTGAGATGTGTTTTTGTGGTTCAATATATGGTCTGTCCTAGAGAACATTCAATGTGTACCTAATGTATGTTGGGTCTAGTTGGTTTATAGTGTGTTCAAGCTTTTTATGTAAAAGTTAATTTTCAAAGGTCCTTATGCCACCTTATCACACCATTCTGGAAGTGATTTTCCACTACTGCTAACTTAACAGAAAGCAGCTTTAGTATGATGTCCTTAAATAAAGAATAAGGATTTTACTTATGTTGACAACATAGGCAATAATGAAATAACTTATTTAGCTCGCACTTGTCAGTTCAGTAAGTGCCTAGTGAAGATACATCGTCTTTGGTCACTTCTGTGAAATGGTGTGTTTTTATTGGACAACCTCTCAAATTATTAGTTATTGGTTAAAGAAGTCAAATTGTTTTCCTGGCAGTATCTAATGCCGAAGACTATGATTGAATCTTTAAGAAAACCATGAAGATCAAAAAGCAATAGAAAGATATAAGAGACTGGATTTGTGATTTTGCTACCCAGAGGATATTTGGCAATGTCTGGAGACATTTTTGGTTGTCAGAACTGGAGAGCACTATAAGCATTTAGTCGGTAGTGGCCAGGGATGCTGCTAAACATTCTACAATGTACAGGACAACCCCCTTTAGCAAAGAATGATCCAAATGTCAGTCATGCCAAGAGTGAGAAACTTCGCTCATAGATTAAATCTAATCAAGAAATCGAAATGGAATAAATATTTCAATTTTATTACCATAAACATCATCCATATATTAAGTGTCTTGATTTTGTTTTGTTGAGGAAAGGAACTGAGAGGCACAAGATAGAAATACATTTCTTAAGATAATAGATGAACAAACCTGAAATTCAGGATATAGTATCAAAATTAACATAAGAAATTACCATAAAACAAATAGCATTAATATAGATAGGCTTTTGATAGGAAGTAATTAATTATTTCACATAGAGATTAATCATGGAGAGGTGGTAATTCCCTAAGGACTGATAGGAATCAGAAGATTAAGGAGATACCTTTTCTCTGCAAACTGGTAATCACCTAGAATACCTTTATTAAGCAAATTTTGTTTTAGGTTTCACAGACTTTGTAAATGTAAAAGTATTTAGGTTTCTTCTTTGTATAATGGGTGGCTCCTAGTTTCCAGAATCCATTGGTATATATGTTCCATGAGGACAAGGATTTTTGTTTGGTTTTGCTTTACTTTGAGTGTTTCGCTTTCTAATATTTCCCCATCATCTAGAACAAGAGTCAACAAACTTTTTCTATAAATGGCCATATAGTAAATATTTTCACCTTTGCAGAATATATGGTTCATGTTGCAACTAGTCAACCCTGCTTTTGTAGTAGGAAAACAGCCATAGACAATACATAAATGAACAGGCATGACTGTTCCAATAAAACTTTATTTACAAAAACAGGCAGTGGGATGGATCTGGCTTGCAGGTCATAGTTTGCCAATCCCTAATCTAGAATCCATCTGGTACTTACAAAATACTCTATAAATATTTGTTGGATGAATATTCACTAGGGAATTGGCACTTCAATGCAAGCTTTATAATAATCACAAATCCATCTTGGACATTGTCTTTGGTGATGAATCAGAAAATCAGAGTACAAAGCGTTACTAACCCTTAGAGAAAATAGCAGCCAAAAATAAAACAGCAGGATCAAAATAAGAATATAGGTGGAGTTTTGCTGGTAATAAGTGGATAGTGTCCACAATCTAAGTTCCAAGTTCCCTTCAACTTTTCTTTCTAACTCTACCATGTCGCATTGCATCCCCCATGTTGACTTTGGAACAGAATTCATTAGCAAAAGAATTTATAGGTAAAGGTGAGGATTCTGCCCAGAATGACATTAGTAATGGCTTGTATTTCCTGAGGAAGCACAGGTCAAGCAGGGAAAGCTAAGCAGAGATGAAAAATGCCATTGATGTTACCATTTTCCAGAGGAAGACACTGATGCAAGAGAGATCATGGAACTCACCTGTAAGTGGTGGCATCATAATTTGAATCCAGCTCTTTACCACTACACTAAGTAAAATGTTCATGGTGACACTCTCTCATGATAAACCAAAAATGTTGAAATTCATGTGTTTCACTAGATGATTCCACCTTAGCCTGTCACTCACTGCAAGCATGTCTCAGGTCTGGGAAGGGCCTCAGAGTGAGAAGAATACTGAGAAGTTATACTGTCAGAAAACTTTCTTGATCTAAGAAGAATTTTGCATATTGAAAAACTCAAGAATCAACACTTCAGACTTTTGTCATCGTCTTAGTCTGTTTAGTGCTGCTATAAAGAAATACCTGAGGCTGGGTAATTTATAAAGAAAAGGCGTTATTTGATTCATTATTCTGCCGGCTGAAAGATTGGGCATCTGGTGAAAGCCTTAGGCTGCTTCTACTCAGGGCAGAAGGCAAAGGGGTGGGGGCTGACATGTGCAGAGATCACACTGTAAGAGAGGAAGCAAGAGAGTGCAAGAGGGGAGGTGCCAGGCTCTTTTTCACAACCAGTTCTTGTGGGAACTAATAGACTGAGAACTCACTCATTACTTCAAGGTCAACACCAAGCCATTCATAAGGGATCTGCCCCAATGACCCGCATGCCTTTCATTAGCCAGCCCCCCTCCACCATTGGGGATCGAATTTCAACATGAGACTTGGACGGGACAAATATCAAACTATCTCAGTCATCTTAAGCAAGCACTTCTGTCAGGTCTATCTGCTTGAGTCACTGTATTGTAACACTTATCAAGGGAACAAAAGGAAAGTGGTCAGTTGCATGTTAGCAATCTAAAAAAGTGGCAACAAAATTTGCTATGAACATCTCTCTTTTGGTAGTAGCTAATCTTTTTCTTTATAATTATTTTCTTCTTTTGGGGGTAGGTAATACATGTGTATGTATATATATATATATAATATTTTAAAAGTGAAAATGTGAAAAGTAAGACTCCCTCATACCCTAGCCCCCCAGACCTGGTCCTCTCACAACCACATCATCATTGCTTTATAGGTTTTTCCAGACAGAGTTTCTTCTGTGTTGGTTTTTCTCAATGCTACCAGACTCAAATGCTACAGACAAACAAATTTAATCCCTTCTTAACTATTTTAAAATAAATTCACAGAAAATATAACTTTTTTATCCAGATAAATAAAAATATAAATTCAATATACGGTCCTAACTATGGTACACAAGAGAAATAAAAATAACTTATAATAAAATGTTTTTTAAAATGTGTAAATGGGCATGAATGCACTAGAAGACACAATGAAATAATCAGATTCTTGCACCTACGTCAGAAGGATTTAAGAGAAATAAGACAGCATTCAACTGAATATTTTTTTTTTGATATTCCAATGACTTTATTAACTCCCTCTTTCTGGGGTGGCAGGACCTCATCGCTGGAGAGCTGGAAGGGAAACTAGGAAGCTGTGGTCTCAGTATGGGTTATTAAAAGGGTACAGAGGGTGCCCTGCATCCCTTGGGACCCTCTTCCCATCCACCGTAAGCATGGGCACAATATATCGCCAATCTTTGTTCAGGGCATCCAGCTGCTTCATCTCTTCTGGGCTAAAGGTAAAGTCAAACACCTGGATGTTCTGAAGGATACAAGAGGGAGTGATACTCTTGGGGATGCAAATCACCCTCCGCTGGACCTGCCACCTGAGCAAGATCTGAGCTGGAGATCGGCCATACTTCTCAGCCAGTGCCAGGACCACTGGTTCCTCAAGCAGGACAGGCTCACCAGGATCACGCCAAGCACGATCAGGGGAGCCCAAAGGGCTGTAAGCAGTCACCTCCAGGCTGCGTGCTTGGCAGTGGGCAATTAGCTCATTCTGAGCCAAGTATGAGTGGCATTCCACCTGCAAGACAGCTGGGCGCACAGAGGCTACACTGAGTATGTCGTCAATCTGCCTACTGTTGAAGTTGGACAGGCCCAGTGCCCGTATCAGCCCCTTAGGCACCAGTGCCTCCAGAGCCTTCCAGGTCTCCTTGTAGTCGGTTGAGTCATAGTGGATGGTCCCATCGGCATTCTTGGGGAAGGGGTTGTCTCCCCGCTCAAAGGTATAAGGCCAGTGCATCAGGTACAGGTCAGGATACTCCAGCTGGAGGTCAGCCAGTGTCTTCCGGAAGGCAGGCTCCACATCCTCAGGGTGGTGCTTGGTGTTCCACAGCTTGGATGTCACAAACAGCTCCTCCCGAGGGACTGCCTTGCCCGGTCCCACGTCCTCCTTCAGGGCCTCCCCAATTTCAGTCTCATTGCTGTAGATAGCAGCACAGTCAATGTGGCAGTAGCCTACACTCAGGGCATACTTCACAGTGGCTTTTACCTGGCCAGGCTCACTCTTCCAGGTACCCAGACCAATCAGGGGCATCTTCTGCCCAGTGTGCAGGACGACACAGGAAGCCGCCATTGCCCCCTTGGCAAAAGCACAGAGCGTGTGCAGGATAGCGTGAGCTGGGCTCAGTTCCGCACCCTCTCAACTGGATATTTTTATGTTTTTTCTTTATCTTTTACATTTTGCAATAAGGGGTAGATAAATATTTGTATTAATACATATACCTAGAATATATGCCATGTATATATACTGTGAATGAGACACCTAGAAGTGAGGTGTGTATATTGGCTGACCAAGTACCAGGAACAATGATGTCATCAGTGATGGGATTTTCTGAGATACTCAACAACTAAACATAATAAAATAAAATCCAGTACAGTATTTCCTCATTTTAAATAGTAATTGCATTCCTGTAAAAGTTAGTGTAAAACAACACTTTTTGTTCAGATATAAAATAGAATTAGAGTCTAGGTGGAATTTAAAGGTCTTGCAGGATGTGGGACATTAGTATCCTTCAATTTGGAAAAACAAAATGTCCCCGAATCCAAACAATTTGGATAAAAAGAAATTGTCCCCAGAGAGCAGGACCGTCCCATTTGTCAACAGCTGTTCAGTGAGCATACAGTTGTATACCTCTCTAAGAGGATAGCACATGAGACTGTTCCTGTTCGGAGGCTCTGGCTTAAATCCCAAGGCTCAAAATGCTGTATGACAAAGGCCCATGCATTTTAGAAAGACTTGCAAAGAGGTGACAAAACCAGTTTAGCAGTCATCAACTCCAACAGCCCATAGGAGCCACAGATGTATTAGAGGGATCCATCGCAAAACTTACACTTTTTAAATTTGTTTTTCAATTTTTATTTTTTTTAGGCTAGTCAAGTGAAACAGTGCAAGTGTAGAGGCAACAAAGGAAATCTGTAACTGGCTGTGATCAATTAGTTGTAAATACCACTGCACTCAGACCACCCCAGAAAACTTACAGAAGCAAAGATTTTTGTTTCATTTTCCTCTCTCATGCCCATAGGGGTGGGAAGGGTGGGTTCTCCCTCAACCATATTCCAAGTGAGGAGACTTCAAAAGCAGCAGTACTTCCTGGAGGGGAGACTAGCATCATAACTCATTGGTTGGATGGGTTTAAAAGGCAGAGTTGTGGGCCCTGGAGCCACCACAGGAGCTGAGAGAGTTCTAGGGGAAGCTTGGCATATGTCTCCTGGAGTTAGGAAGCATCCAATTAGTGCCTGCAGAGCAAAAAACGATCTAACGAAAGTCAAAGGTGGGAGTGGACTGGCCCACCCTGCAATTGCCAGAGAAGGAGAGGGAAGCAATGGGAGTGGCTCGCTCTTCCATTTTGGAAGAAAGAGTTTTCCTATGACTGAATGGACTCTATGGAAAGCAGATAGGTTTGAGTTATCCTGATAGGACCTGCCCAATATTTTGCTATCTCAATAAGGAATTCAGCAGTGAATAACCATGGATTATTATTTTAAACACGTGCTAGTATATCTGCAGGGTAAATTCCTCAAACTAGAATTCCTAGATCAAACAGTATGTGAATTTTGATATAACTGCCAAATTATTCTCCGTAGTGGTATTATTAGTTTATACTTGTAAGAGGTTCCTGTTTCCGCACATCCTCACTGACACATTGTGTTATCAAACCATGTTTATCTTTACCAATGTAATAGGTAGAAAATGTTATCTTGAGTAGTTTAGTTTGTCTTTCCTGTGTTATGAATAAAAGTTAAGCACCTTTTCATACGTTTAAAAGACATTTGTTTCTGGGTTTTGTGTGTGTGTGTGTGTGAGTGTGTGTGTGTGTGTGTGAACATTTTATGTGTCTGTGATAGTTTGATTATTATTCAGCCAGTACGCACTTCCTTACCTTCCCAGTAGAAGAGAAGGATATTCCCCTGCCCCATTGATGTTGGTTTACCCATGTAACTTGCTTTGGCCAATAAAATGTTAGCAGACATGACATGAGCAAAAGCTTGAAAACATACCTGTGTGGTTGCATTTGCCCCTTTGCCATTGCCATGAGAATAATATGTCTCAAGGAGCCTACTATTCACAGAAGATAGCTAAATGCAGAGATTCGAGCTGTCCCAGCCAACCCCCAGACCTGCAGCCTAAAACAGATACATCACATTTCTTTTCACTACCCCAAGAGGTATCTCAGGCAATAAAAAGAGGACTCTGGGCACAAACTACTGGTTCGGAATGCCTAGCCAGAGCAATGAGAATACCAAAATAAACGAGAGATATGAACATGGAAAATAAAGAGACAATACTCAGTGAGCACATGATCATCTACATATGCGATGTCAGATCACCTGACAAGATCAGGGGCACAAAATCTTATGGCTCCTCTCTTCCCTGTAGAAAGTCAATCTATTAATAGTAGAACCAAAGTTCTGTCAGAGGCCAAGTCTGGCTGGTGAAGAGAAGGAACAGACTAGCTGGCTTTCTCTTTGACAGCCCACCACCTGCCCTGGGCCTCTGCCTTGAGCTATGACTTCTCCCTCGCCCATCACTCCTGAGGCAAGGAACCATTGTCTGCCAGCTTTGCGGTAGGGAAACTGCTCAAGAGCTGGCAGGCATGTGGCATTTCCCAGGAAGCCTTGAATGAAAGAGACAGGAAGCAAGCTGTGGAGCACCACGCAGAAGGGCTTAGGGGACCAATATCCCAGAATACAGAGGGTCCCACGAGACCAGCCGGTGGCTGCTGTCAGACTTAGACGGTCACAGGCAGGGCTGTGAGGCTGAGGAACCCCACAATTATCCTTCAGGGTTCTCATAGCACGAGAGATTTGATGTAAGGAGGGCAACGTCAGGTGAGCAGAGGAAGGACTGTGAGCCTCTGATATATATCAAGGTGATGAGCCTGAAGGAAGAATGAGGGAAGGACGCAGCCAGGACATTGGGGTCCCATAGAGTCCTGCCCTGGCTGACAACCCTTGGAGATCTGGAGCAGTCATGGCTGGATTGGGCTCACGCTGAATCTAACTTTGGAGTCCCAAGAAAGTGAGGAGCCTGATTCGAGGGAAACAGCCTCGGGTGCGCTGAGGTAGAGTCCCGGGACTAGTCAGCTATCGAGGTGAAGAATGTCAGGGAGGAATGAGAGAACCGACCAGAGGAGAATGGAGGAAGCACCGCGGAGCCCCCAGCTCCCCGTCCTGTGACCTGGGAGGCCCAGGCAGAGTTGTCAGGTTGACGGGCCCCGCATTTCTGCCTGGAGGGTCTCAGGGAGAGGAGCGCCTCGGTCTAGTGGGGGGGAGTCGGGGGGTGGTGGCCCCAGTTCTGTAGAAACTGGAGACCCAAGAACCACAGGAGTCAAGGTGAGGACTCTAAGTGACACGAGGGAACCGCCAGCAGCAGAAAGGGTGACACACTCCGAGCGCTCCGTTCTTACTCCCATGAGGCCAAGCAGAGCTCTCGGCTCAGGATCCCCTTTCTCTGCCTGGAAGGTCTCCAGAGGGGAGGGGAGTGAGCCGGTTGGAAGGGAACAGCCGCGGTTCTGCCGACAGAGGCGCCCGGGCCCAACTGGAGCCCAGGGAAGGACCCTGAGGACCAATGAGAGCATCTTCTCCCAAAGCCCGGGACCAGAGCCCCGCCCCTGCACCCCTGCTGTCAGCCCTGCCAGGCCCCTTCCCCCACCAGGGCCCGCCCCCTACCCCCAATCCCCGCCCCCTGCCCCCCTTGGCCGGAAGTGGCGTGCCCTGACTTCCAGCTTGGAAGTTTCTGGAAGGCGAGGAGCTTGGTGGAGGTG